AAAAAAATAAAAAATTTTAAAATGTTCTCTTGAAAACAAGCAATTCAGAACAAAACTTTGTACTGAAGACCCTTTTATTATAAATTAGGGCTTATTTTTATTAGTTCAGTATATACTGTAATAATCTGCACGAAGCAGTATGCAATATAAATAACTCGGCATTGCGATAATTCAACATGAGTCAACTAAAATTTTTATTTGGCATCTTACCGTAGCATGATAATTACTATGTAACAAAATAATTAAATTGTTTACTAAATTCGGCACCACAATTGTTGGACACGGCAAATCAATCAACAATCGCACGTTTTCTATATTTAGGTGCATTTGGTACGTTATTAATCGGTATTAATCAATGTTGATCAAACACCTAATATCACAATTTTTTAAGATCCACAAAAAGAATATGTGTTCTTAAAATAGCAATCATGTGCTAAATAAAATTGATGTGTATTTATTAATAATATATCGATATTACCTACTATATAGTAAATGATATATAGCATAATATTAGTTGATACTTTTTCACATAGTATTACACAACCCAATTCTAAAAACAAATGTCAGGCAGATTAATATGAAAAAACTTTGATGCTATGGACTGTAACAATACTTGCAAAAATAAAGATAAAAATATGATATGTTGTACAGTAATACTGTATATCAAGTGCATCTAAAAATCTATTTATATTATGTTGTTATTAGCTTAGACTTTTCCATTCCAGGTCAAGTCCTGTCCATAAGGAGCTAAGTTACCATGTTCATTTGCTAACAATAATTTAACCAAATCTTTTTCATTTTTTTTAAGAAATATAATTATATTTGCAATTGTCAAATTTCCATTGGGAATTTTAAGTTTCTTGGTAGGTTTTTCTCCAGAAAGCATAAACTTGCCAAGCTCAGTCTGTGCTTGTTTGCTGACTCTTTTGCCATTAATATAAAGGGAAGTTTGAAGAAAAATAGTACGATAGACTGTTACAAAAACCTGATGATTACAACAAACTGTCATATATACTCTAGCGTAAATAAATGGTGCATCATATCCCAACAATACATATTGCATATGTCATGCTATCGATGTTAACCGACTAGCTCTAGTATCGAAGATGCTCAAACAAGTATTATCTTTGATTTTGGACCATTGAATTCCATTAAATGGTAAGTCATTAGTATATACATTAGCTGATGAATAATTAACGTAAACATGTAGCACATATTCTTTTGTATACCCATAAGGATTGCATTCGGCATCGTCACATTGTTCTGGATTTTTGGTTAGATTTTCTTTATTATGGTAATCAGGATCACAAGGATTAGCAGTAACAAGGTAACCTTTAGCATCACACTTAATGTTAAAGCTGGGAATATGGATATATCCCCTTTATTCTTTTCTTTTAGCCCATTTATCAAAGTCACCATCTATGCCATTCATGTCAGAAAAGTTGGTGGGCGGATAATCGTTTGCTAACCATTCTAATATTTCACAAACCACCCTTCTGGAAATCAAATTTCCTACATCTTTCAACTGTTCAATACAATCATCATAAAAATTCAGACTATTCTTGATGTAAGAAATAGTAAGAATATCCGGTGTTCGAAAGGTTACTTCATTTTCTGATAACGTGTCTCGAAGCAAGAAGGTAACTAAGATGATGATAACTTTGCCAAGCATGACAGCTTTTGGATAGTTATAATTAATTTAGACAGTAAAATCGAAGAATAAAAAAGCTTTAACATGAATTTATCGCAATGTTATGAATTTGTTTAAATAAAAACAAGTATTTATTTGCTAAAAAGAGTTATTTCTCCAGAGTATTTAACAAAAAGGCGTATATACAAGAAATCATATATAACCGATATATCTATCTTCTTGTAATGCCAAAACATGTAAAAAGAATGGTTTAAATTATATGCAAGAATTTTACTATGTATGGTGATAAATTACATGAATAAATATATGTTACTATATTGATTGGTACCTTAAACTATTCTTTCTAGAAATGACTCAAAAGAAATATAAACAAAAAAAATTCAATTTGCTTCGTGAAAAATTACTCAATTATTCAAATTTGTGCCAGATTAAAATAATTATAATTTCGTTAATACCTATCTAATATAGGATTAGGGAAGTAACAAAAATCAGGTGATTTTTTGGGGGGGTAAAAAAAGTTAAAATTATATATAAAGACCTGATTAAATATATAATAAGAAGGGGGGAGGGGGTATACCTCTAATAAAAAAAAATCAGGTGATAAATGACACTGCCCTTACACCCTAATGAAACACCGCATTTAAATTTCGTTTGATGTAAAAATGAAATATTATTTAAACTTTGTTCTGACTTTTAATCTGATTCATATACAGTATACAGTATAAGTTAAATAATTCACTATGTATGATATAATCTAATATCAGATATACAAATTAATTTGTATTAGAATGAATAATGATAAGCTATACGATATAACTTTTTCTAATACATTAATATCTGTAAGCATATATGTGTTTTATTTTTGTACGTATGACATAAGTACACAAAAATTCGATCACGGTTTTTTTAAACTGAATATTCGAAATTCAATAAACATTTGTCAGTATAAACAAATTTAGAATAGATCTTGATACAGTATTTTGCTTATTTTGAACAGTACTTCAACAGTGGCTTAATAGTAGTTTAACATTAATACTGTAATATCGATATAGTAAAAGTCGTTGTAGAAAAATTTTTATTAATATTAGTGTAAGTACAGAAATAAGATACAGTAACAAGTCACACAAAATTAGATATAAGGTTTTGTGACACTCTCCTGCAGAATCATTTCTCACGGTCGATTTTTTGATTTATAACGAATATTATGAATTATATCTAGATCATTTTCTTATTATATATGATCCCGTGATAAGAACAGGACTTAAAAAGACTATAAGGGTAATACATATAATATTCTTAATCAATAGTTTGGTCCAAATTCATATGTTGCAGGAACTTGGAATTCCCAGATCGTTAGATCTAAACCCACCTTAAGCAATCGTTAAATCTAAGGAGATTAATTTTACCAGAAAAAATAACAAAATAGGCTCAGTGTTTAGAACTTATAACCGAGTGGAGTTGCTTTATGGAGAAAAAAAACTGGAGTTAGACTTGGGTAACGCAATTACCAATCATGTAACTTTTTTTTTTCTAGCAAAGTTTTTAGATTTAGCGAATGGACGGTATAAAAATAAACAAGTTCCCCACCCATAAGATAAGTTAGCAATAACGTTATTTTTTGCTCATATATAAATTTACTTGTCTACTTGCCCATAATTTATTTTTTAAGTAATTTGCTATTTTATTTAATGGAGACTATGAAAACGAATTTTTGCTTATTTTGTTTTTTGTATTTAGGTATGAAAAATGAGCAGTAAAAAAAAAACTACCACCATCAAGACTAATGACACCAACGCTACCCCCAAGACTAATGATACCACCAGCACGAGTAATAACACCACCACCTCTATGACTAATGATAGTAACCCCTCCGAGAACTATTATGTCCCCCAAACACCACCCAATCCAAGATCTAGCCAAAGGACATCTAATTCCAATCATCAATGTAGAAGTAGGAGAAACAGATATGGTAGGAGGTAACTTTTATTAGAAAGCGCTCTTTATATATTTGTGAAACTAAGGCTAAAACTTATTTTATCAGGCCATGTTCATGCATTAAATTAGACGATTCAACCTATGACTCCAGAGAAGATGATGACTATAACGTTGATGAAGGCAGATTCTTGAACAATTTTTTAGAAGAAAATTCAGAATGGTGTGAGGAAAATGATTTCAATAAGTATAAGAATCCTGGACAACGACAAGAAAGGCTAAATCAAAATTAATAAATAGTTCATATTTTTGTCTGCAGTATGCAACTGTGATGTATTTTTTTATTTGTATATTGATTCGGCAATATTATTTTTTATAATAATAAAGTGGGGGTCTCATGGTCTCGCCATTTTTTATTTTTACATAATTTTTGCAATGTAATTTGTGATTATTAATTAGTAGAAATAATAGAGTCCATACCTAATTACCTTATTAACCTATGCTTTTACGATTACTATTGGGATTGAATTCTGATATTTATTTTTATAACAATAGAGACGATAAGTTTTTTTACCACAATATTCACCACTTCCCCACTCATCTTCTATAAAATTTCTTATATTCTCTTTTTTATGATCATTGTTGCATATAGGACAGAGTACAGATCTATTAAAATCAAAATAATTACTATATTTAAAACTATGTTTCAAAGTTAAATAAGGAAATCGTTCTAATACCATTTCAATAACATGTTGTTGCCTTTCTTCCAGGTCTTTAGGTAGAACAGAAATTGGTGATCAAGATTTTGATGGTATAGACTGAACATTTATTCACGGTACAAATAAAGTTTTCTTCTCAAAAGATTCAGAGGGTTTGGAATCCATTCAAGAATCGAGACCAGTTTCTTTCTTGTATCTCTTATATAACTTGGAACGAATTTTGTCAGTTAAAACACTTGGTAATCCAGTAAATTTATTATTCCATTCCAAATATTTAGGAGTTAATGTTTTATTGGACTTTGTCTGTATATTCATATTGCTGTTTTATATGGTTGTTCGTCTCTTTAAATTAACAATATCCAGCAAAAAATAAATATGCCTCAGAGAGATGCCTTAAAGACTTAAGCGAATTGTAATAGTATAAGATGAAGTTTATACCAATATCTCGATTTCAATTCCACGCTGTTCACAATTAATATAATAGGAATCAGCTTCATATTTGCCTTTTATACCATTCTCATCGTCATAATTTTGTTTGCATACTGGACATAATGTCTCATCATTAATTCCATAATAATCAAAATTTTCACTATTACCTTCTGAATGTAAATCGGGATATTGCTTTAATGTTTTATTACAGAAATAAGTACGGTTATAAACTGGATTAGATGATGTATTTACTTTAGTCTCCAGTAAAGATTTGTTATTCTCACTTATCATATTTTCTGAATCAGAGACATAGGATGATTCAGTAGGTATACTTACCTGGATTTCTGATATTTCTGAATCTTGATTATTTCCTCGGGAAGGTTCAGAGTTGGTCATATGAGAGCGTGAAATTTTTTCACGCAGTGGGAGGTTAGTACCACATTTTTCTGTAATATGACTTACTTCATATATGATTGTATCAATTTGCATATTAGTTAATTTTGAAAGTTTATTTGCACTATAAGTCTTAATTTGCAAAATCTTATCTTCTCCAATTTCATTAAACAACTTATATATAGGTTTAGTTAGTTGTGTTTTTTTACGCAAATTTACTTAGGAGATACCTGAAAAATAACATAACATTTCATCATAAATTTGGCTACTCACTAGCTCATATGCTTTTTGTTTCGTAGGTTGTAGTTTATTTTTCAGGATTCCAGGTAAAATTTTACTATATCTTTTTTCAAAAAACTTTCTATATAAATACTAGCTAACAATTTCATCTTGTTTAGCTTGCATAGTATTAAATTCCGCAAAACAAATTTTTTCAAATAGATATACTAATTTGATTGTAGGTGATTGGTTATCTGTAGAATTTTTGCCGAAGGCAGTCACACAGTGGCTAGATATAGAGGATTGCTTCTCTAAGGCATCTACATTAACAATTTTAATAGTATTCTCCTTTAAAGATTTTATATTTAGTTCTTGTATTAAAGGTTTTATATCTATTTCAGGCATTTTATTTTTTTGCTTTATAGGAAGTTGTTTTAATAAATCAGAGCTATCACCAGATGTAGTCACAGAGTGGCTAGAAATAGATTGCGATATTGTTGACAATTTCAAAATTTGATCTTTGTATGATAAATTGGATAGTTCTAGTAAATTATTATCCGAAGATAAGTTTTGTTCCCGAAGTTTCTTTTTCTTAATTCTCTTCATTATCTCTTCACTAACACATTCTTTATGTTTCATTTCTACAAAATTAAGGGTCTTGGCTGAATCATCATCGATAATATCTTGTGACAAAAAGGTTGGGATGACTCACCTTTTGTGGGAGTATTATCATGATTTATTTCAGGGTGGTTATGGGATATAGGACATTGGCTAACCATATCCTGGTATATATTAGCACTATTTTCTATCTGTCCAGGAGTATTATCAGAATTTGGCATAAGCCTGCATATTTGTACTGAAGCATTAACAAATATATCAGATACCGAAGCATTATTAGATTTATTAGAATGGCTAGAATTTATCATTTCGGTAGAGGTAATATTAACTAAAGATTAGTGATCATTTAGGATCGTCCCTTTGGGCCTGATTTCTTTAGCTATATGGTTATTTTTTTCTTTATCATTTTGTAATTGCTTTTGTTCTAATTTCGCAACCCTAGCTTTAAGTTCAGCATTTTCAGTAACAGTATCTTTATTATTCTGCTCTAATTTCACAAATCTAGCTTCGATTTCTGCTTTATCTTGTTTTAATTTTATATTTTCAGCCATGATATTAGCATTCTTCTTTCTAAGTTCATCAATTTGAAGAATGAACTTGGTATTCAATTTTCTCAACAAATCAATTGTGGATTAAGCGTCTTCTATTGTTTTATACAAGATACAGATATGTTCAAAAGTTCGAGTCTGATAAAATCACATGACTCTGTGAAAAAAATTCACGCACTTTTGCCAAGAAAAATTTTTAAAATTTCTCAATTATATGCTGGTTAGTATACGTCGATAATAATACAATAAAATAAATTTACGAAATATACATGCAAAAGTAAACGTGATTATATATGCGAAATTAGCCACCAGGGCCAGCTTTATTTGTATAGCAAAAAATAAAATACATAAATTCTATCTCAATAATTGCTAAAAACTTACTGTAAATTTTATTATTTATCAACTTGCTAGTATCGTTAAAAACAAATTATATTGAATACATGCACAGCTTATATACATAATTGTTTTTTTCCTACTTTATCCTCAAATACCATGCTAACTAATCATTCAAAATCTACACTCTCACCCAAGTATTTAGATTTCAACAACTCCAACCAATAAACATCATGTTTACGACTCAGCTTCTTCCTATCTTCAGCCCCTGGTAGCCAATTAATATGTTTATGATTTATGAAAGATGGATAGCATGCGACTTCTCCTTCACCGGCCCAATCAAAATCTATTAACATTCTTCGATATTGGCCTTGAGATTTGTTAACCAAAATGTTGAAATCACGGAGGTCAGCAAAGACAATATTTTCTTCATGCAGTTTGTCGATAGCTTCTTTGATGTCCTTGAAAACCACTTTATATTCATCATGACTAAGTAAGTCGCACTCGTAAAGTTGCTCGGCCTCAATGTAATCCATAACTACCATGTAAAATCTATCCACCACTTCTTTGTTAATGTAGAGTAATTTTGGCATCTTTCCAATTTCGCTACACAGTTCGTGTGCCCTTTGATTGTAATCCCATGTGAATTTAACAATAATTTTCTGCCCGTCTTTTGTTATAGCTTTCTAAAGAAGCTTGTTGGGTTGATCCACAAGTTTTCTCTCATATGTAAATTCCATAATTGTATTCTGTTGTTCGTATTGATTCGGATAGGGAAAAAATCGCTATGAATTTCATGGATCTGTAAGTGCATCTAACGATCCATAATACTCTGTTAACTTATTAACTCCCAAGTGCAAGGCTTTGAAAAGCCGTGCCACTCGCTCTGTGTAAGCTCGATCATTTGTAGGAATGAGAGGTATGAAGTCTGTCAAAAGATCTATAATGAGTTTCTTAACATATATAGCCCCTAAAATACACACCCAAGGTCTGGCCAAGCATAAAAGAAAAGATGGCCAGTTGTACTATTGGAGCATTTCCACATTTTTCTTTTGGGTATAATATTTTGTATAAGAAGCCTCAGCCTGGACAGTTGAATCACAGCCACTAGTACCAATTTCATTTTTCATCTCAACAATAAGGTGTAACACACTTTTTGAATAGACATTACATTCCAATACTCCATCATTTGAAGAATTATCATCTAAATGAATTACTTTTAATTCTTCACCAAATAGTTTACGAATTTTTTCGTTAAATACTTGCTGATATTCAGGTTCACTCTGGTATATTTTTGCCATTTCGTGAATAAACTCAAGGGTCTAATTATAATGTTCTTTTTCCATTTCTAGCTCTTCATTACGGTAATCACGCAAGAACTGATTGAAAATGTTATTCCTTAATATATAGACCAACACAGGCAAATTTGCCTGTGTTTTTGCACTTTTTTAGCTCTGATTTACTTTTTTAAAATGCTAAAATATTTAAATAAAA